CAAAACTATAGGGATAGAAGTTGGATCAGGGGTTGCCAATGGCTGCATATGGAAGAAAGAGTTTGACTATAACAAAGTTTAAGGGAACACTTTAAGGGGATAGAAATACTCTATCTCTTGATTGGTGTAATGAATATGTATGTGCATTTGTAAAAATTTATAAAATTGTATACCTAAAAATGTAATTTTTACTGTGTGTAAATGCTACCTTGATAAACCTTGCTTTATAAAAAGAAATAAGCAAAAACTCAGAGTCAGGTTCATCCATACTAGAAGCCTCTTGTGACTCCATGAAACACACAGACTGGGTTAAGTGACTTCCCTTTAGTTCCTACAACACCTGGTGCCTAAATGTTTCCCTGTTGAATCCTATTATATTGAAGTTATCTGTTTAAAACAAAATTGAAATGTTACAGTTTTATTTGTTTAGCTCTCCTACTGGGTGGCAAGTTTGTTAAAGTCAGAAAACATATCATATTTGTCTTAATACCCATGCATCCTACCCTCATCCTCTCACCCACCCCGTGACTAGCATATTGATCAACCAATGATCAATGAAGTCTCTCCACCAATTCACTTAACAGGAGATCCAATGAAGTCTCCTCCTAAGTTCAGAATATTTCCTCAGAAATCTGCCTCATCAAATTGTCAAGTTTATTTTCCTTCTAAGACAGTAGAACTAAGTAATTCTTAATAAGATATTAATGACTAGTGGTACTTTGCGCACATGTGTGCTAAGTTGCTTCAGTTGTGTCCGACTTCATACGACCCTATGGACTGTGGTCTGCCAGGCTCCTCTGTCCATGGGATTCTGCAGGCGACAATACTGGAGTGGGTTGCCATGCCCTCCTCTAGTGGATCTTCCCGACCCAGGGATCGAACCCACATCTTTTATGTCTCCTGCATTGGCAGGCGGGTTCTTTGCCACTAGCGCCACCTGGGAATCCCAGTGGTATGTTACCTTCTAAAATGTGTATTAAATTTAGTGTAGATTTTCAATATATTTACTAACAATTACACACTAACAAATTAATTTTAAGTAGGGAAATAAGATATTAGTAAGCAATATATTTGGCAGAGAGCTCCTAAAACCTCTGTAATTTCCTTAGTGTGTGTTGTTATTTATAATAAGCTCCTTTCAACCATACCTGAGTTTATGCTAATGAGATAACTCATGATGGATCCCTATATAACTTCAGGATGGGGACTGGTTACCAGATGAACCAACCGTGCAATTAGAGTGTTGGAACTTTCAGTTCAACATCCCCACACACACAGCCTCTGGGGAAGGGAGAAGGGCTGGAGATTGAATTAATCAACAATGGCCAGTGATTTGATTATTTGTGCCTCCATATTGAAACCTCCATAAAAACCCTAAACAGCGGGCTTCAGAGAGCTTTTGAGTTGGTGAACACATCCATGTGCTGGAAGGGTGCCTATGTGCTTAGTCACTTCAGTTATATCCAACTCTTTGTGACCTTATGGACTATAACCTGCCAGGTTCCTCTGTCCATAAGATTCTCCAGGCAAGATGACTGGAGTGGGTTACCAAGCCCTCCTCTAGGGGATCTTCCTGACCCAGGCATCAAACCCGTGGCTCTTACCTCTCCTGCGCTGGCAAGCATGTTCTTTACCACTAGCGCCTCCTAGAAAGCTGGGAGGGTGGTGCATCCCAAAATGCACAGGGCCAGATGCTCCTGAACCCAGGACCCCTCTGAACCTCTCTTTGTATACCTCTTCATCTGGCCGTTCATCTGGATCTTTATGCCGCTGTTCAGTCGCTAAGTCGTGTCTGAGTCTTTGCAACCCCATGGACTGTAGCACTCCAGGCTCCTCTGTCCTCCACTGTCTCCCAGAGTTTGCTCAGATTTGTGTCCATTGAGTCAGTGATGCTATCCAACCATCTAACTTCAAGATCAAGCTAGTCAATCCTAAAGGAAATCAACCCTGAATATTCATTGGAAGGACTGTATCTTTATAATACCCTTTATAATAGACCAGTAATAATAAGCAAAGTGTTTCCCTGAGTTCTATGAGACATGATAGCAAATTATCAAATCTGAGAAAGGGGTCATGGAAACCTCAAATTTTCAGCAAAGTTGGACAAAGTCTGAGTGACCTGGGGGCCTATGACTGGATCTGAAGTGGAGAGCAGTCTTGTGTGACAGCTCTTAACTTACCAGGTCTGTGCTAACTCCAGGTAGTTAGTCTCAGAATTAAAGTAAATTTTTGGATACCCTGTTGATATCTGCAGAAAATGAGAGAATTGTATGATGGGGAAAAACCCCATACTTTTGGTGTCAGAAGAGTTGTGAACCAAAAACAGATCTATAACAGGAGCTATGACATATTTGAACTTTCTGATTTCTAATGACCAATTTCCAGAAAGCCTATTATTTTACAGAGAGTAGATGAAATTGGGAAGAGCAGATGTGATACAGCTACTTATATGGCTTCTCAGGTATCATTAGGACCCCTTTTGAGCCTGAATTATAGATCAAAACCAAATTCTTTCTCTTTACCGCTTTCTACTACAAATCCTTCAATTAAAGAGCAGGGAAATATTTCAAGAGAGACATCATGAAAGAATGACATGCTGCTATTATTTCCGTCAGTCCCCTAAGGAAGACTTCATTTCACTTATAAGTAGTTTTTTTCAAAGAACTACCAATATCATTCAAGGCTGTGTGTTTTATTATGGCACATGAGTGTGTGCTAAGTCACTTCAGTCGTGTCTGACTCTTTGTGACCCCATGGACTGTAGCCCACCAGGCTCCTCTGTCCATGGATTTTCCAGGCAAGAATGGGTTGCCATTTCCTCCTCCAGGGGATCTTCCCGACCTAGGGATCAAAACTACATCTCACATCTCCTACATTGGCAGGCAGGTTACCACTAGCACCATCTGGGAAACCCAACTTACGGTGGCTCCTTGCTAGTGGTCAGGCTTTTCCCAAGTGCCTAGGATGGATTCACAGGAGTCTCACAACAGTTGCTGAAAATTCCCTTGTCTTTCATTTTATGCTCTTTCTGCAAAGATGATGGGCTGGGTCCACCCAAATGCTGCCTACCCCATATAGTTGACTCCTTGGCCTGTTCATCACACAGTGTGCCCAGGGTTGTCAGAATTCTGCAAAGGAGTCTACTTGCCTAGTTTTGCGTAATCTAAGCATCAGTGATGGTGAAGAAGGAACTATCCTGTCCCCAGGTATTTTCTTGGACAAAAGGTCCAAGAAACCCATTCTGGAAGTGTCTATCCTTGGAAAGTCATTTTTTAACTTTATAATATGATATTTATGAAAATTAATATGAATTCACAAAAATTACATGATTGGAACTACGAAGTAATCAAGCAACCCCATTTAAGATCTAGTGCAGAGTAAGGAGCCCATCCCCTAGCCAATAAAGCATGTGTTTCATCATAGGAATGCCTCCGCTCCCCCTTGCAAATGATGAGACATCATTGAACTTCATATAACCATCTTATTGTTTACAAAATGATCCCACTTGATTTTAATTCCTTCCGTGATGGCTCAGCTGATAAAGAATCTGCCTGCAGTGTAAGAGACACAGGTTTGATTTCTGGGTCAGCAAGATCTGCTGGAGAAGGAAACCGCAACCCACTTCAGTATTCTTGCCTGGAAAATTCCATGGACAGTGGAGCCTGACAGGCTACAGTCCAAAGGGTTGCAAAAAGTTGGACTTGACTGAGTAACTAAGCAGACACACACGGAATACAGGAAGAATTTTTACGTCTATCTCACAAATGAGGAACTGAGGCTCAAAAGAAATTGGACCAAGGACACATAGTGACTTTCTACTTGCCTTCCATGGAGACCAAGTCATTCTCCCTGTAACTGGACCTTAAACCGACCCTCTGTCTTTTCCTGTGAAGCCTTCTCTTCTCTTCTTTCAGTCAATATGGGCAAAGACACCTCAAACCTTGATCTGATTTTACCCTCATCCCTTGTTCTGTAAATCCCAGGAGAAGGAAATGGCAACCCACCCCAGTATTTTTTGCCTGGAGAATCCCCATGGAAAGAGGAGCCTGGCGGGCTACAGTTCATGGGGTCGCAAAGAGTTGGACATGCTGAGCGACTAAGCACTTGTTCTGCAAATAAATCTAACTGCCTTGTTCCTCGCAGGGACCACGTCAGCACCATTCCAGACCCTGCCTCAGTGACATCAAGGCCCCTGGATCCTCAACATTTAATGCTTGGGTTCTACCTAAGCCCATGCTCCTTGAGCTTCCTCAATACCTTGCCACTGCCCCTACAACACCTCACTCCAACACAGCAATCTACCTGATCCCTTTCACCTCAGCCCAGAACAAGATCCCAGAAGTCTCAGGATGCCTGTTAGAACGGATGGGATTATTTGTAGAGAGATCCACTACGTTGGTTTCCCTGGTGGCTCAGAGGGAGAAGAATCTGCCTGCAATGATGGAGACCTGGGTTCAGTCCCTGGGTTGGGAAGATCCCCTGGAGAAGAGAATGGCTGCCCACTCCAGTATCCTTGCCTGGAAAATCTCATGGACAGAGGAGCCTGGCAGGCTACACTCCCTGTGGTCACAAAGAGTCGGGCACAACCGAGCGACTAACACTTTCACTTTCACATGACTATGTTATGTAAACCCTGCAGTGTGGACCCCATTCTTCTGCAAACCTCAACTCTTTCCACACAACAGCCCATCTCCCACATATTGCCACTTAACTGGGTCTTTGGAGCAACAATCTAATCAACTCAAAATCAGTTAGGATCTGCCTTCAATATAGGTTGATTATTTGACCATCAGTGGTCCTTTCTGCCTCCTAGAGCTTATAATAAATTGATGTTCTGCAGTAAGAGACAAGCCAGATGACCTCTGAATCTGCTTCCGTTAGCAACCAGTTTAAATTCATTTTCTAGTGTGAAATCCAGAAAAGGGAAAAACACGGGCTAAGAAAGAGACTTGCTGAAAATTAATGTTTGCAGATTTGACGCTATTTTTGTCACAGAATTAGCATATATTCTTCCTTGTCCAAATAGCTTTCTCCTTCCCCTCTCTGTCCTCTTCCAGAACTCCCAGCATTGGCTGGAATGTAGGACAGAATTTCCCACAACACAGAAAGCACCCATCTGTCTCTAATTTCACAAAATGACAAACTAGAATGGCCCTACAGCCAAAATTTCTACTTCATTCTTCTTTCTGATGTACTAGTTAGGTCAGGGGATTTTCTTTTCCTTTAGTGCAAATCAGGCATTTAAGGCAGACTTGAAAGCAGACCCGTAATCCCTCATTGTAATACTGCTGGTGAGAATTTACAAGAAGCTGGACCATTCCGATCCAGTTGCAATCAGCCCAGAAAGGAGTTCAGCATGTTTTCAGCATGGTGGAAACTGCTGCTCTTCTCCTGGAAAATATGAACAGAAAGACCCCATCTGAAATCTAGACCACCCCTCTAAACTGGAGCAGGTATGTTAAAAAATATCACTGCAATACTGAGTCTTAGTATGGGATGACAGTCTCAGGACCTAGAATTTGGGATGGAAACTGACATCTTTGAAACAATGATTTCTGGATTCTCATCTTGAGCTCCTAAAACAATGGTGTGGCTTTTCGTGCATCGATAATTCTAAAACATCATGAATGAGGACTGGGTAGCATTTTCAAAAGCTTCACCTTTGACTGTATTATTCCCTTGAGGGGATGACATCTGACAAAAGGAGTAGAATAAAACTCAGGGACTGGGTCCATGGAATGGATCACTCTCCTGAGAAGAAGCATGATATCCCCAAGATAGCAGTCCAGAAGGTATTTCATTTGCAATCAGAAATCCTGAGTTTTAATCCTTGGTTTTACTTGAAGTGGGCTAAGCTTTAGCTTCATTCACCTGCAAAAATGGGAAGGGAGATGGGCAGAACATTCCTTCGAGTAGGTGGCATCACAGGTGCTTCAGGAACACAAGATACAGCATTTGATAAAGAAGAACCCAGTGGAAAGTTAAGGGCAGTTAGGGAGTTTGGGATGGACATGTACACAGCGCTATATTTAAAATGGATAACCAACAATGGTTTACTGTATAGCACAGGGAACTCTGTTCAATGCTGTGTGGAGGTCTGGAGGGAAGGGGAGTTTGGGGGAGAATAAGTTAAGTTCAGTTCAGTCGCTCAGTCATGTCCAACTCTTTGCGATCCCATGGACTGCAGCACGCCAGGCCTCCCTGTCCATCACCAGCTCCCGGAGTTTACTCAAACTCATGTGCATTAAGTTGGTGATGCCATCCAACCATCTCATCCTCTGTCATCTCCTTCTCTTCCTGCCTTCAATCTTTCCCAGCATCAGGGTCTTTTCAAATGAGTCAGCTCTTCACATCAGGTGGCCGAAGTATTGGAGTTTCAGCTTCAACATCAGTCCTTCCAATGAACAATCAGGACTGATCTCCTTTAGGATGGATCTCCTTGCAGTCCAAGGGACTCTCAAGAGTCTTCTCCAACACCACAGTTCAAAAGCATCAGTGCTTCAGCACTCAGCTTTCTTTATAGTCCTACTCTCACATCCATATATGACCACTGGAAAAAACATCGTTTTGACTAGATGGACCTTTGTTGGTAAAGTAATGTCTCTGCTTTTTAATATGCTATCTATGTTGGTCATAGCTTTCCTTCCAAGGAGCAAGTGTCATGGCTGCAGTCACCATCTGCAGCGATTTTGGAGCCCAAAAACATAAAGTCAGCCACTGTTTCCACTATTTCCCCACCTATCTGCCATGAAGTGATGGGACTGGATGCCATGATCTTAGTTTTCTGAATGTTGAGCTTTAAGCCAATTTTTTCACTCTCCTCTTTCACTTTAATCGAGAGGCTCTTCAGTTCTTCTTCACTTTCTGCCATAGTGTGGTGTCATCTGCATATCTGAGGTTATTGATATTTCTCCCGGCAATCTTGATTCCAGCTTGTGCTTCCTCCAGCCCAGCATTTCTCATGATGTACTCTGCATAGAAGTTAAATAAGCAGGGTGACAACATACAGCCTTGACTCCTTTCCCTATTTGGAACCAGTCTGTTGTTCCATGCCCAGTTCTAACTGTTGCCTCCTGACCTGCTTACAGGTTTCTCAAGAGGCAGGTCAGGTGGTCTGGTATTCCCATCTCTTTCAGAGTTTTCCACAGTTGGTTGTGATCCACACAAAGGCTTTAGCGTAGTCAATTAATCAGAAATAGATGTTTTTCTGGAACTCTCTTGCTTTTTTGATGATCCAGCAGACATTGGCAATTTGATCTCTGGGTTCCCTTGCCTTTTCTAAATCCAACTTGGACATCTGGAAGTTCACGGGTCACATATTGCTGAAGCCTGGCTTGGAGAATTTTGAGCATTACTCTGCTAGCATGTGAGATGAGTGCAACTGTGTGGTAGTTTGAACATTTTTTAGCATTACCTTTCTTTGGGATTGGAATGAAAATTGACCTTTTCCAGTCCTGTGGCCACTGCTGAGTTTTCCAAACTTTTTGGCAAATTGAGTGCAGCACTTTCAGAGCATCATCTTTCAGGATTTGAAATAGCTCAACTAGAATTCCATCACTTCCACTAGCTTTGTTCATAGTGATGGATGCTTCCTAAGGCCCACTTGACTTCACATTCCAGGATGTCTGGCTCTAGGTAAGTGATCGCACCATCGTGATTATCTGGCTCGTGAAGATCTTTCTTGTATAGTTCTTCTGTGTATTCTTGCCACCTCTTTTGAATATCTTCTACTTCAGTTAGGTCCCTACCATTTCTATCCTTTATTGAGCCCATCTTTGCATGAAATGTTCCCTTGGTATCTCTAATTTTCTAGAAGAGATCTCTAGAATAGAGTTTTCCTCTATTTCTTTGCATTGATCACTGAGGAAGGCTGTCTTCTCTCTCCTTGCTATTCTTTGGAACTCTGCATTCAAATGGGTGTGTCTTTCCTATTCTCCTTTGCTTTTCTCTTCTCTTTTTTCACAGCTATTTGTAAGGCCTCCTCAGACAGCTATTTTGCTTTTTTGCATTTCTTTTTCTTGGGGATGATCCCTGTCTCCTGTACAATGTCACAAACCTCCATCCATAGTTTATCAGGCACTTTGTCTATCAGATCTAGTCCCTCAAATCTATTTGTCACTTCCACTGTATAATTGTAAGGGATTTGATTGAGGTCATACCTGAATGGTCTAGTTGTTTTCCCTACTTTCTTCAATTTAAGTCTGAATTGGAGTTCATGGTCTGAATGAACTCAATAAGGAGTTCATGATCTGAGCCACAGTCAGCGCCCAGTCTTGTTTTTGCTGACTATATAGAGCTTCTCCATCTTTGGCTGCAAAGAATATAATCAGTCTGATTTTGGTGCTGGCCATCTGGTGACGTCCATGTGGGGGAGAATGGACACCTGTATGTGTATGACTGAGTCCCTTTGCTGTCCACCTAAAACTATCAAGACATTGTTAATCAGCTGTAAAAATATTTATTTCAAAAAAAGTTAAGGAAAGTTTCCCTTGACTTTAGGTGTCCAAGTCTGTAAATTTGGGCTTGCGCAGGGTCACCCCCTGAGGTGGAGCCGAGCACAGGTGCTTATTTGGCATGTGATCTCAGGAAGCATGAGAGAGTGATTGGGGATAAATAGAAAAGGGGGGGAAGCCAATGCAAAAGTTTATTGCCAAGGTCACTGCTGTGAGCAACTGGGGTTCAGCTGCATCAGGATCGCTGATGTGGAAGGGTACAGATTTCCTCCCATAGGGGCCTACCTGGAAGATGGCAGAGCGGTTTATCCATCGTTCCAGTCCCATGAGCTGAAATTTGGTCCCAGAGGCACTTACTTTAGCAAGATCCTGCTGCAGCTGGAGGGCACCTGGGCAAGGTGAGGAATAACCCAGATTGAGAGCTCAAAGTGGGATTTCAGACCCTCCCACCTCCAGTGATATGCACTCTGTGGAACCATTTTCCCTGCTGAAGCTAAAATCAGTGAGATCTGAGTGGCTTCAGTGGGGGCACCGGAGGGCTTCCTACACCAAGCTAAGGCTCTCTCACAGCATCTGTTACTCATTCGATCCTCAGAGGTGGTCAGCCACACCTGAACATCACTTCCCGTATGAGAAGCCATAATGCCCGGATGACCTTGAAGAATCACATCCCTTCACAAGCAGTGCATTGCACATATTACAGCTGGTGTTTAGAGCACTTTCCCTGCTGGTTCTTCCCCACCTACTGTGCTGAGCTCAGCTTGACAATTATGTATTCCAGAAAGCTTTCCTGGATCCCGAGGGGAGGTCAGTTGTTCAAGCTATGTGCATCCAGGGAACACTGGATGGCTTGTTTGTGCTGTTTATCACATTTGACATACACAAACACATGTACACCCATTCAGTGCTATGAAGTCAAGAAACTTGCTCATACAGACTCATAAATATAGAGAACAAATGGTTTTCTTAGTTGCTGTTTAGTTACTAAATTGTATCCAACTCTTGCGACCCTATGCTCTGTAGCCTGCCAGGCTCCTCTGTCCATGGGATTTCCCAGGCAAGAACACTGGAGTGGGTTGTCATGTCCTCCTCCAGGGGATCTTACCCACCCAGAGATTAAGCCTGTGCCTCCTGCATTGGCAGTTGGATTCTTTACCACTGCGCCACCAAGGAAGCCCAAACTAGTGGTTACCAGTGGGGAAAGGGAAGAGGGCTAGGGGCAATCTAGGGGGAGGGGAATAAGAAGTACAAACTCATAATAGGTATAATATAAGCTACAAAGATACATTGTACAACACAGGGATGATAGCCAGTATTTTATAACTATAAAAGGATTATAAACTTTAAAAATTGTGAATAACCATATTATACATCTACTATATATATCTTTACAATATGTACAATACTGTCTGATATAATATTGTGCAGTAACTATACTTTAATAAAGAAAAAATAAACAAAACTTAAAAAAAAAAGAAACTGGCTCTTACCCTAACAGATATATTTCCCAAACCTAGCACAGTGCTAGGCACAAAAGCTAATGAATGGATCTTGATAAACAGACTAATGAGCAAATGAAGGAACAAGCGAATGGATGAGGAAGGCAAAAGCATCTGTCGTCACTCAAATCTACCCAAATGTCTACTTTGCTCAAGAGGTCCTACTTCCTCCTCCCTGTTGTGTTGCCTTCAGAGTGATTGCTCCAGAGCTTTCTCTCCAGGATCTCTTTCCTGGGCATTTCTGCAAAGAAAAAAATGCCAGTCAAGCGCTACCGAGTTATGCTTAGGTTTTCCAACCTCTGCATCTCTACCGGCCAAACCCCAGGGGTCATTTTGTTTGCGTGTTTTGTGGGGAACACACCCAGTGAGCTTCCCTGTTAGTTTAATCCTGGTCTTTCAGTTTCCTTCCTTCAGTTCAGCTCACTTCAGTCGCTCAGTCGTGTCCGACTCTTTGTGACCCCATGAATCGCAGCACGCCAGGCCTCCCTGTCCATCACCAACTCCCGGAGTTTACTCAAACTCATGTCCATTGAGTCGGTGATGTCATCCAGCCATCTCATCCTCTGTCGTCCCCTTCTCCTCCTGCCCCCAATCCCTCCCAGCATCAGGGTCGTTTTCAATGAGTCAACTCTTCGCATGAGGTGGCCAAAGTACTGGAGTTTCAGCTTCAGCATCAGTCCTTCCAATGTTAGCTTCTCATAATCACCCTTTCTTGTTCTAAAGGCAGAGATGATCTCCGTTACTGTCACACTGCCCATGTCCTCTTTGCCTTTCTCTCCCTCATCCTCATCACTCTAAGAGGAAGCAGACCCTGCCCAGAGAAGAGACCACAAGAGGCCAGTGGAAACCCTTTGTCAACAAGCTGTGCTCTTCCCACCTTCAGAACCCAAAATAAGCATCCTCTGGGGTGGAGTCAGGGTCACAGCCCCTCTAACTCAACCCCTGGATGGCCTGTTGATACCAAGAAGAGGACAGAACACCCCAGGAGTCAGGAAGTCGCCTCAGAAGAGCAGGGAGGGAGAACAGTGCAGGATCAAAACACAGGGGGTGACAGGCCACTGGACCCCAAGAAGTGGGCCAAAGATAACCACAGGGGGCCCAGAGCAGGTTCCGAAGGGTGCCAGGTCTGCACCAGGGCAGTCTGCACAGGTCCGTGGACCTGAGATCAGGTGCACAACTGGCTTCTGGGGGCAGCAACGTAAGTCCCAATCCTGGCATCACAGACACGTGGCAATGGTCTACTTGCCGCTGAGAGTTCTCCACACTGTGTTGCTTCTTGTCTTCTCAGTTCCTGCCATCTTTTCTGCTGGGAAGGCTCCACCCCGCTGTCTACTCTGCTCATCTCACCTTGTCCCCACTCTTGGCTAAATTTACTTCCTTGCCCCTCTTCAAGGAAACCCTCCCTGAATCCCACAGGCTATGCTCCCTACCTGTGCACTCACCACATCACTTGCCTCCCCTCTACCCTGCCAGGACCCAGGGGAAGGAGCCATCTGATTTATCTTTATATTCCCAGGGCCAAAAACAGTGTCTTGTCTAAAGTAGGCCCGTCAATAAACACCTAATTTTCAATGAATTGAGTGAATGAATTCATTGATGAAAATTGTTTGGGAGCAGATCTTCTAGAAGAGGCAGAAGGTGTTTATCAAAACAGGCACAAAACCAAAGCTAGAGCATCGATAGATATGAGACTGAGTCCCAGAGTCCTGAGCAATTTCTCCTTAAAATGCTGCTACCGGAAGTCAAGTTTGTTCTTAGGCTTTGAGATGAAATTTTTATAGATGAAAGTTCCACAGCCTCAACGCTGGGTGGCAGAGACAGAAGTCAGACAGGCTGACAATATTTGCAGTGGGTTGATTCTTTCATTCCCCTGGCTTGGCAAGGGTTGGGGAAAATTTGGAAGGGCCAGATGGATGGGAAGAAAGTGAAAGGCATTTGTTAGTGAGGTAGGATCAGTTCAAACATCACTGACCTGATGAAATCTCTCCAGCATAATTTTTTTCCTTTCTTGCTCAGTGTGTTCCAGGCCCCTTGGCCTTCTCTCGGCTTGTTGAATATGCCAAGATTTTTCCTGCCTCAGGGCCTTCAGACATGCTATTTTCTCTGCCCTGAGTATTCTCCTACCCATGCTTTGAAAGACAAATTCCTTCTTCTCTGTAGGTTTTGGCTTAAATGTTAATCTTCAGTGAAGCTCTTCTTTCCACTTTATTACTAATAGGTACTCTCATCACAGCCTGTCTGTCTGTTTGGCCTAAACTGGTTTAGTACTGGTACTAAAACCAAGTACCACAGACTAGGTGACTTGTGAACAACAAAATTTATTTCTCACATTTCTGGAGGACAGGAATGCAAGATGAAGATGCCAGCTTTGGGGTCTGATGAAAACCCACTCCTGGTTCACAGATGATTGTCTTCAGGCTGTGTCCACACTTACTGAGAGTAAGCTCACCCCAGGCTCTTTCATAAGGGCCCTCATCCCATTTGTGAGTGCCCTGCCCTCATGGCCTAATCACCTCCCAAGGCCCCATCTCCAGATACCCTGCCATTGGCGATCAGGTTTCAACATGTGATTTCAGTGGGGGTGGGAGGACAGGGCACCAACATTCAGCCCATAGCAGAATTCATTCGTTTCTATCTATTCTTCATTTTTGCTTTCATCATAATATTTATACAATTTGCAATTTCTTCATTTATTTTCTCTTCACTACTGGTATCAGGGAGATGAACTTTCATAGTGGAACATAATTTTCTGAAGACAGAGGCCTCTCCTAGCATTTGTTTAGTCGGTTAGTTGTGATCAACTGTTTTGTGGCCCTCCAGGTTCCTCTGTCCATCAGATTCTCCAGTCAAGAATACTGGGGTGGGTTGCCATTTCCTTCTCCAGGGGATCTTCCCAACCCAGGGATTGAACCCACGTCTTTTGCATTAGCAGAGGAGTTCTTTACCACCGAGCCTCCGTGTTTCTTGTTTTATCTTTAACACTTAATCTGTCACCTGGTGCCTGGTAAGAGGTCATTGTTGTCAGTCCCATGGCTGCTGAGTTCATTATTATTGTCAAGGGAATTTCTTCAGCATATATAAAACTAAAGTGATTCAAATTATGAGCTTAGGTATGGGCTTCTTTATTTTTCCATATATTTTGAGCATCATTATCAGAAAGCATTTCTGAATGCTTGCAGAACCACGTCAGCTTTCAGTAATGTATATTAAAAGATGCCGTGTATGTCTGAGTTAGCCTTGTGAATAAATCCCTCCTAATAAAAGAAAATGAGCTTTCATGATTAAGGGGTTTAGAAATAATCGAGAGAGGGTTAAAAATAAAACAAGCGTAGGCAGAACAGACCAAAGAATAGCTACTGGCAAGCCTTTCCAAATGATGTCCCAGATTATAATTCCATAAGAAAAAAATAAAATAATTGCTTGCCAAGCCATATAAAAAGATGAATTCTGAGAAAACTTAAAAACTAAACATTGATAGGCTTATAGAGTCTAGCTCCTCTCAGTAACACAGGACTTTCCCAAAACCCATTTTTCCTGGTCATTCTGAGTGTTCCCTCCTGAGTCTGATTTTCCATCACCCTGGTGACCTGGTAGCATCAGTGGTCTGGTCTTCATTACCCAAACCAGGCCTGCTAAGTTTGAAAAAAAAAAAAGTTTCCCTAAGGAAGCAGAAAATGAACTCTTCTAGCTTACAAATACTCAGTGGAGTCCCTGCTCAGAACAGAGGCAATTTAAGCCTTAGCCTGTTTGTGGTTTGTTGTGTTTCATGTTTGTCTCATCACAGCAGTCAAATCATGTCCCAACTCCTTTCAACTAGATTTCAAAACTAATGAGTTAGAAACAAAATGTTCCTTCCTACATAGAATGCTAGCAGCTTTGCCTTCATCTCC